GGCCGATCAGGTGCCAGAGTGCAAGGTAGAAGGTAGGTACTTCCACACCATGCACGACAAAAGGGCGAAAGTCATCACGAATTCTGATAAAACTGCCTTAAAAACACTACTCCCAACACAACACAAAGAAATATTCGAAATTGTGTTTTAGGTTTAAGCCGAGATTCGAAACCGGGACCTCACAAATACGAAGAAGTGCCAACGACTCGACCATCAAGTTCGGTGTCACGTGTCTTGCATGGTCATTGATGATAAATAAGTTACAGGCTTAAGTAGAAATTATTTACGAGCTATTTTTGTATGTTCAAATGGATACTGAAAATTAAATATTATACTGGACAGTTTCTGTTAATGAAGTAATTAAATTTTTCATTCACATTTTACACTGATTTCAGTACAGACTAGAAATAGATGGAAAATTAATTAAAATTAAATACCTGTCGATAGTTCTGTAGAACCTTGCGTTACTAAAATTCAGATATTAATTTGAATTACAAAGTAACCCCCTAATTTCCCCAGTATGATCCATCTACTTCGAATAACGTTTTACACCACACTCAGGAACTTTTTCCTTTCGTCTTACTGCAAAAAATTTGTGATGGCGAAACCCATAAACAAAACGTCGTCACTAAGTGGTTAATACTCATTCTTCATATTCGTGAGGTCCCGGGCTCATATCTCGGTTTGAAGATTGGCTGCCCTGACTGTTTCACCCGGTTGGTATCACCGCACCTCAAATTAGCCCACAAATGCTTCCCTTCACATCCCGCCCAATCCGTTGACACAATTTGATCTGAATTACTGATGGCTCTGTTAAATGCGTGTTACAGAGGTAGCAGGAGGTTTCTCATGCCCTGCCCCTGGAGAACTTGCTAACACCGGTTCCTTCTCCCGACACGCGCACCCTGACGATTGCCGAAAGTACTACATCTGTCTGGAAGGCGTTGCAAGGGAGTACGGGTGTCCTATCGGTACAGTCTTCAAGATTGGAGACTCTGATGGCTCTGGTAACTGCGAGGATCCTGAAGATGTTCCTGGCTGGTGAGTATCTTCCCTTCGCATTCTCCATTTTATCCTTTATTTGTCTTACAGGCCTATTCGAGCATTACGGTTGCAAATAGACTTAATCTCAGTACTGGACCAGTTTTATATTTCCTAACTGACAGGGAGTAGACATGAAGTAACTTTTAACAAAACATCTGTAGTGCTTACAAGAAGAGATCAGATATACCGTTATTAAAACACTTTCAAAAATATCCATTTCATGCAGAAATCAATCTGTGCGCAATACAATACGTAATGTGCCTAGGTTATGGTAGCAAAAGGACTTTGGGTAAACACCAAATAAATTCTGAAGACTTTTCTTACCCTTCTTCTGGTATTCAGGAAAATACTACTTAGATAGCACCCAAAAAAATATATCATAATTTATATACAACCTGATTCATCATTATTTTCACA